GAGACTGTCATTCTATGACACTCTTCTTATTGAGATAATTTAGGATAAACAGATCAGCCCAGCTGGCATGGCTCAGTGGTTGAGTATCGACCTATGAACTAGGAGGTCAAGGTTCGATTCCCAGTCAGGGCACATGCCTGGGTTGGGGCTCGATCCTCAGAAGGGGCAGGCAGGAGGCAGCCAATCAATGATTCTCTCTCATCATTGATGTTTCTCTGTTGTTCTTTTCTCCTTCCTCTCTGAAAGAAAGAAATATATATCTATATCTATATCTATCTATCTATCTATCTATCTATGATAAACAGATCAACGGGTGTCTGCCACATTATTATGAATAAGAATGCAATTTCAGTCCTGTTCAGATAAATAAATGTGGGACATAGCCAATAGAGCAGAGAGTGTTGGTTGCATGATTAAAAAAAGTATTGAGCTACAAAGAGATAATCAGCATAAATATCAAACTGACATGAATTACAGGACTTGATTGGTGGACCTGCATAGGGAATTGGGCTAGTGGAGGACAAAGGTAGCATTGCTAAACACTTCCCGAAGCCAGTGGGCTTGTGAAGGAGGCCTTACAAAGGACTGTGAATTCTAGAATTTGTTCTCCAAGACTGTCTCTCGGTGTCTCTCACCTGGAGAGTATAGTAGTTGACATCATCAGACAAAGTTTGTTGTAATTGTTGAGCCATTTCCTATAATTGCTTTCTTAGCCCTGAGGTTGGTTTTTAAAGCTGGAATGATGAATTTTTCATACTATATTATTTTCATATTCCGTGTGCGTACCTCATGCAAATTGACTTTCTTATAGCCTCTCACTGACCTTTCCCTCATTGAACGAAATTAAATTGTACAGGGAACCTGTTTAGGAGGTGTCTCTGTGAGGAAAATGGCTCTTCTACACGGTTCAGGTTTAAGAGAAGCCTTTAGCATTACAAGTCAGCAACCCCATTACATAATGAAATAAAAACCCAGGTTATCGGTAAAAAAAATTAAATCATTTTTGTTTGTGAACAGAAAATACACAACCTGCCGTTTTATTTAAATTAAATGAAAATATTTTGTTTGCTCAGAATGGAAAGGAAATAGCAAGGTTTAAACTGTTAGCATACTGCAGGGGAGGGGGGAGTGCCTGCAACAATTAACTTAATATTTTCAGGATTCGAGGGTCCTTTTTATACCATATACTGGCATATTTGACATTTTCCCCTGGCTGCTTGAAATTGGGGGGACGCATATTGAGAGAAAGATATTCTGATTCTGTAAATAATCTGAATATCCTCAATGCATGCTTCCAATAACATATTCATAGACTAAGAAACAAACAGACAAAAGCAGTCTTGGATACCTAGACACAAAAATGATAATTTTTTTTTTGGCATGTAGTTCCAAATAATAAACTACTTTCTATTTTATCTGAGAGTGTTTTAGGGGAATTTTACACCTGGTGATTTCTGAGGAAAATAAAACTGCAGGTTGTGTATTTTCTGTTCACGGAATCTCGGCTGCCTCCTAAAATTCGCCGTAACCTTCTGGTGCACGGTGGCGCCGATGCCTCGCATACTAAAGAAGGAAAACTTTGGTCTTCCCCTGAGCCATTTATTTTAAATTCACACAGCATCTTATTTTCAAAACTCTGAAATCATATTACACGGATTTGACTTCCTTTATCCAAAGATCCTGATTCAATTTTCATCTGAAAGTGTTCCTGAATGTAATGGTATGCATGGGATCAAAAATAGAAGTATGGGTGTTTATTTTTGCACCCAGAACAGTGTTGTGTGTAAGCCAGGTTTAAAGCGAACGCACCTACAAAGAGAGAGTTTCTAGAATAATCTCCATAAACTACTACTTAGATTAGGAAGCCTGGAGTCTGAGAGAGTAAACAACCCCATCTGTAAAATAACTCGAGACTCGATTGATAGTTTAGAAATTTTAATTTTAAAAGACATAGAAAAAAGAATAGCATACGAAGTAGTAGAATTGTCAAGCTTGTTGACTTCAAGGCTTGTAAAATAAAAACAAACAGATTCCATAATGGTTTAATGACGTCTATAACTCAGTTACATACAACATATTAATGTATGTACACAATTCTTTCTTCATTCTCTGCTTCTCCCCCTTCCCTACACACCACCATACCCCCAATCCCTATTTCTGTCAAAGCTACACCTTTCTTTCTATGTGATTCATCGTTTTGGTATGATTTTTAATGCTATGTTGTGTAGCATTAAAAGGGTATATTCATAAAAAACTTGCAAATTTATCATTGTGGTGTTACATTTGATATCTGAATCCCTTTTTTCCCCTTCTCATTGAAGTCAAGTCTGGTCTGAATCATCACTTACACTTGGAAGAGACCTGAGCAAACCAAACAGTTTATATCTTGGCCAAAGACTTAGCCTTGAAAAGTAGGAGACAAAAATTAACCTTTATAATCATTTTCAGTTTTCACTTTTTATAATATTAATTTTAACCAGTGTTAGTCATCCCTGAATTTATTTTTATAGATATATTAGACTCTTGGAAGCAATTAGAAAGTATTAAAACGAATCAGTAGGGGTTTTTATAAAACAAAAGAATAAATCTACAGCTCCAATTAAGTCTTTTAAAAATTATCCAATATCTAAAAATTAAGGTAGCTTCTATTTAAAAATGAATTTTAAGAGATCAACTCATTTAATATGTAATGCATATCTTCAGTATAAAAGCCAGATAGAACTATCTATGCTTAGTATTTTAATATTGAGTATTTATCAAATATGCAGTTTTAATATAAAGCTAATTAAGTATCTCGGTCCTTAAAAAATCTGGAAGCCTGGAACTGTGTACATATATGACTAAAATTTAAACTCACTTAGAAATTATGGCTAACATGTTTAGATACTATGCCAGCAAGAATAGTTCATTTTCCCCCACAAAATAAAATGATCTGAACTTTCATTGCTCCAAATATTACATTCAATTAAATTGTAGTATCTTTAGCATTTTATATATAAAATAAAAACAATTGATTCTAAAATATAGCTTGTATTTCTTTCAATAATGATGGACATGCATGTGTATATTCACTACACATATTTATAACATCAGCAAAATTACCCTTGAAAGAAAGAACCTCGTTTCAGGATGAGTTCTGACTTAAGGTTTAGTTTCCAGTACAACAAGCAAGATGACTTTTTTGACAGGTTGGTGTATTTGATATACTCACCTGATATTGTATTTTATAAGAGAATCCTGATACTTAGTGGGCACTGGTCAATTACTTTGCTGTGATAACTATGTAACGCCACCTTTAGAGATGCATTTTCTGACTCAGGCATTCACTGGAGGCCCCTGTCTACTTCCGAGGTTCTGTGTGAAAAATTAAAAATTATGGGGCGCGGCTACGGTGTTTTGGCCAGGTTCAAGCCTCGGACTAATGAAAGGACAGGGTCCTCTCATTGCCACGTGCAAGTCCCAGCTGGAGGGCAGGGCCCTCCCAGCACAATCATAGCCAACGGCTGTGGTTGTGAGCTTGAACCTATGGTCGGAACACGTAGCCCCACGTGCCTTGTGATAGAGTTCAGGTGCATGTAGTTGAGTGAGGTTGGAACTCACGAGAATGCTGTAAACAATGTGATCACGCCCCTACTTTGCCTCGTGGCATCCGCTATACAATAAAGACAGGGCTTGTGGGCGCTGGCACTGTCTCCTCATCAGGGAGCAGCGTCCCACCGAGACCCAGCTTTCATTCTCTTGTCTGTCTTTCCTTAATCCTTCCCCCCCCGCGCCCCCCCCCCCACTCAGTTTACCTTTGGCCGCAGCAACAGAAAATGAAGATACCTTTTCCTTTTTTAAGACAGACTCTGATCTTGCTGGAACATATGCAATAACATTTTCAGTATTCAGGGATTAAAAAAAATACTTCTTTTCACATGATTGTTTTAGAACACAATATTTAGTTGTTTTATTGATTTTATTTCTCTCCAATTACTTTTTATCTGTTATTTGTAATCCTAATTTTTAAATCAAAATCCTCTGCAAAGTATAAATATTGTCTGTTTATATTACCTGCAACATCTGCCTAAGGATTTCCCTTTATGAGGGAGAAATAGTGTGCTATGGCAGAGCAATTATACTTAGTAGACTGAAGAATAATTATAATTTTTATTTATCTCTTAAAAATCAAGCTGCTGATCTAGATCTATTTATGTGTAGGTGAAACACTCTGAAAACTTTTTTTTTACCTAAAATTCTTAGCAAAATAGCCACCTGGAGAAGAAGAAAAACAAAAAAATAGAAAAGAAGAAAACGTATCCTAAATTGGCTAACAAAAAGTAAATTAACAGACTCAATTGTAAAGTTCTTGTTTCCTTCATAATCATGTGATTTTTTTAAAGTGAATGTATTTATTATATTTCACAATAGATGGGCTTAGGAATTATATCTAAATATATAAAAGCCTAAGCGACTGGCTGACCAGCCAACCAGCTGACCAGCCAACTGGCTGGTAGCTATGATATGCAATGACCAACAGGGGGCAGACACTCTGACCAGTAGCTATGACATGCACTGACCACCAGGGGGCAGGCACTCAACGCAGGAGCTGCCGAGCTGCAGTGACTTGGCAGCTGTGGTTCTCAAATCTGGAGCCCGATTCTGGGGTGTGTCACCTGAGAACTGCCCTCTTGCAATCCGGGACCCCTTGGGGGATGTCAGAGAGCCAGTTTCAGCCCTATCCCCTAGGCCAGGCTGAGGGACCCCACTGGTGCACGAATCTGTGCACTGGGCCTCTAGTAGATAAATAAAATTTTATGGGTTGAATCTTGATCTTTTAATGAATTTACTTCATTGTTTCAGGTGTCATATATATTATTTTTTGGTTGATATTCATTTATCAGTGTCTGTTCACATCTACTTTTCTGATTATGTATGGAATGAAGTCAAGTGGAAGGTGTGACTGAATATACTGGCAGGTACAGTATGTATTGTTAGAATAAAAGTTTTGATTTACGTTCTTAAAATCCTCTTACACGACATATTTTATTTTGTTCACATATGCTATGTCTTAGAGGCAGATGTACAATCTCGCCCCCAAAATGAGCAAAATTAATTTTCTTTAAAACCAAATGGCAACATCCGACTTCACGTCCTGGAATTCGTTGTAGGTGAAGGAACGTGACCGCCTTCTCAGATTGGTGGGTCTCTGAGGTCTTCCTTCTACCAAGTCTGAATAGATGTCAGATTTCAGAAACCGCGTGTAACTGTCTTGTTCCATCAGCTGATACACTCTGCTCTGCGCAGCATCAAAACTGTGCAGGGTGGGCTGCGTGATGCTCTTCACGATGAGTTCTTTGGTGTGAAAGTCAAGGTTAACCTGGATTGTAATTTCACAAAGGGGTAGTTAGGGTCAGTGGATGGAAGTAAACACCTTTGAGAAACAGCACAAGACTATTCAATGTTGGAGTGGGCATGTGCGTGGGTGCTGGGGTGCTCAGCCTGTCATGGGTTGAGGAGTTGGGTGATTGACTCTTGGGTGGCATCCCATGTGGCTCTTGTCCCCCGATACTGCCGGTCCTTCCCCCTCGCTTCTAATCGAATACTGGGTCGTTGTAATAGCAAGTAACATAGAGGTCATTAGGTCCCACTTATTTTCAATCATTAGTAAAATCATGTTCATTGACTGCCAACAGGGAGTTTAGAGCCTATTTGGGATTTCAAAGTGGGCCTTTTGTTTTATTCCAGCACTTGTTTTCATGCTATGATGATGCTTTCCTACAAGCACATGTGTGCTGAGAATGAATATGTTTAAAAAATGTAAATCGCTGAATGCTTTTTATCAGAGCGCCGCTGATATATCAGGTTCTGATGGGTGAGTTTTCAGCGGTGTCTTTCCTTTTCCCTCCTGAGTAACACCTTACACCTAGCTGCCTTTTCTTGGTCTGTGTATAAGGTTGGCCCTGGGAAAATTAGAATCATACATTGAATCACCGAACAGAATGAAACATCCTGAAGCAAGGAGAACAATCATTATTTTCAGTGTGCACCAATATCCACATAGACAAGGTCACCTCACGGATCATACAAATTTGTAGTCAAGTAGAATTCTTAGCAGTGTAGACTGCTAGATCTACCCCTTCAGCAAAGAAACACTATTTATTGAACACATAATAAAAATATAGAAACTACTGAGTTCATATTTGAGGGTAGGTAATTGCCATTTTTAGCAGTTGTGTCACACAATTACCTCACACTGAGCTTGCAGTCAAAGACAGTCACAATTGTGTTGTCACTTGGACCATTGCCAAATCACGTTTTTCTCATCTATTATGATTTTTTTTTTAGTCTATCGTAAGGAGGAGGAATAATCATTTCGAGGCAAATAAAAGTTTGTATAGGTAGATGAGCTAAAGTAGTGCATGATACCAACTTCTTGATTTCTCTTGCCTTTATCTTTTGTTTCTATGAGAGTTTGCTTACGCTAAGATGATTAATATGGCCCTAAACGGTTTAGCTCAGTGGATAGAGCTTTGGCCTGCAGACTGAAAGGTCCCAGGTTCGATTCTGGTCAAGGGCATGTACCTTGGTTGCAGGCACATCCCCAGTTGGGGTTTTGCAGGAGGCAGCTGATCAATGTTTCTCTCTCATCAATGTTTCTAACTGAATCCCTCTCCCTTCCTCTCTGTAAAATATCAATAAAATATATTTTTTAAAAAAGACTTCTGAGTTAAGAGAAGTTTAAAAACTGCTCAAGGTCACATACCCAGTGGGCCACAGAGCTGGGATGAAAACCAGAGATCCCAGACTCCTTGTTTTCATCTTACTTAATTACAAGTGCCCTGAGATTGGTCCTATATATTATTAATCTCTACATCTCACAGCTCCTAGCACAGTGCTTTGAGTGTAGTAAGGACCTTGAAATGTTATCTAAATCAGTAGATGCAGGTAGAATATACTCCACTTGTCAACTCTTCAGATGCTTGAGGCCCGAGGCTTGATATTTCCCAGAAGATGATTTTCCAGGTTTTTTAGACAAAGTTCCTGCAACTGTTTCTCTTAAGACCAGTCTACTATCCTGGTTACATTTCTGAAGATATTTTGTGGTCAACAATATCCTCCTTAAATAAACCAGAACTAAACACTGGTTTAGTTCTCTTTGGGGGTTTCAAATAGCACAGGGAATATAAACTTATTTAATAAAGACAACAAACTTGTTCAAATGCAGCCTAAGAGTGATTGTGGTTTCTTTAAGCAGTTGCCATGCAATGCAGGCCCATGGTTAACTTCTGACCAGCTGAACATTCTAGAGCCTTCTGGTGATAGATCAAGCCAGGCTCTGTTTCTTAATTGCATATTTAAAACCTCCATCCAGTACTTTAGTTGTATTCACTCCATGTAGCATCTTATTAATTTTAGTCATTAATTCTGGTCATGTAAGAGCCTTAAGCATCCAAATTGTGCCTGCGGATAAATAATGGCAGAGGATGGAATTGAAATAAGGTATTTTTTATTTCCAGACCCCTGCTTTTCCCAATGAATGTAAGCTTCCAGGGATATGTTTAGCCAAAGACCAGTAGCATAGCTGCCTGAAAGCTCTCAGGAAAAAAAAAAGAAATTAAAAGCTACAACATATGTTTTCTCATGGGTGGAAATGGCTGGGCAGTCCAAGGCCTGATGTCCACCTTTGGCTGGTTCATTCCCCTCCTATAGCTGACTAAGAGTCCCACAGGAACAAAGAAAAATCAACCAAAAAAAATGAGTTCGCGTGTCACCTCTGACACGCGTGTCATAGGTTCGCCATCACTGATCTATAGAGCCAAGGAGCCATTCCACCAGGACCCCTTCTCCCCTTCTAGACCACATTCTGGTACCCAGGACTCTGGATATCTCTGTTTAAGACTATTTTTCCAGGGTTTGTCTGCTCAACTCATTTTCACTTACATCTACTTCTTTGAATTAATTATTGATTTTTTTTTGAGAGAGAGAGAGACATCGATTTGTTGTTCCACTTACTTATGTGCTCATTGGTTGATTCTTGTATGTGCCCTGACCAGAGATTGAACCCGCAACCTTGGCATATCCACTTATCGGGATGATACTCTAACCAACTGAGCTACCCAGCCAAACCATTCCATCAGGACCCCTTCTCCCCTTCTCGACCATATTCTGGTACCCAGGACTCTGGATCTCCCTGTTTAAGACGCTTTTTCCAGGTTTTGTCTGCTCAACTCATTTTCACTTACATCCACTTCTTTTAATCAATTATTGATTTTTTTTTGAGAGAGAGACATCAATTTGTTGTTCCACTTACTTATGCACTCATTGGTTGATTCTTGTATGTGCCCTGACCAGAGATTGAACCCACAGCCTCGGCATATCCACTTATTGGGACGATACTCTAACCAACTGAGCTACCCAGCCAGGGCTATATTCATTTCTCATGTTCACTACCCTGCTATCACTGCTCTAGGACTATTTCTCATGGTCAGTGATTATTTGTAACATAACCAGTTCAATACAGAAGGAAGCAAGAAGAATACATCTCTTTTGGTAGAATCATGGCAGTAACTCAGGGTTTTGCACTGATAACACGTGGAGGGGTTGTGAGGGCTAAGGGCTGTTTATACTCCTTTCTGCATTTAATTGTTACAACGATGCCTGGAATATACCCCATGTTCATCGTCATTGACGAGGAAACTGAGTTTCAGATACGTCCAGTTGCTCCAGGTCTTACTTGTCCAACAAACAAAGAATGTTAGAAACGGATCTTTCTCTGGAAGGCAGCACTTTTGGGTAAGGCACAGTGACAGCCCGCCAAGGGCTGATCCCCAGAAACGGTGACTGTGACCTCACAGGGGACACGGGCTTTGCTGATGGGACCACAGGGAAGGAGCTCGAGAAGGGAGAGCACGTGGGGGGACCAGGTAGACCCGCTCTGATCACAGGCGTCTCTAAAAGCAGAAGGAGTTGTCAGAGGAGTGGGTCAGAGAGGTGCAGTGTGGGAAGGGCCATTGCTGACCTTGAAGGCAGAAGACGGTCATGAGCCAAGCGTGTGGTGGGTTCTGGAAGGTGGAAATGGCCCTCAGTTTAGAGCCAGCAGGAGAATGGAGAGCTTCATCCAAAACGTCAAAAAACGGAATTCTGGCCCAAACCCAAATGACCCCGAAAGGGATTCTCCCCTACACTCTCCAGAAAGGGCACCGGCCTGTTGATACCTTGATTTCCTTTCAATGGGGCCCATAGTGCACTTCCGACCTACAGAATGGTCATATAATAAATGTGCCCTGTTTTAAGTCCCTATCTCAAGTTGTGATAAATTGTAATAGCAGCCACAGAAAACGAATACAGTCCTCAAACTGTGCTTTACGCATCCCCATTTCTTTTTCCTACGTATAGAACTTGCCCTCTCTGTTATGAAGCCTTTTTATTTTTAAATGTTGTGAGCAATCTTTTGAATATATGAGGGATCCAGGAACGTCCTGTTTGAGAAACCAGTAGTTAGAAGCGATGTGACGTCCTAGAGCAGTGGTTCTCAACCTGGGCTGCACATGAGAATCACCTGGGAATCTTTTTAAAATCCTGATGTCTGGGCCTCATCCTCCGGAAATTCTGTTTCTTTGTTATGGGGTGGGGCCACCACATGAGTAACAAAGAAACAGAATTTCCAGAGGATGAGGCCCAGACATCAGGATTGTAAAAAGATTCCCAGGTGATGCTAATGTGCAGCCAAGGTTGAGAACCACTGCCCTGTAGGCATCACCTAAGTCTCAGATACGATATGGCTCCAACCCCCACCTCGATGAGAGCCACCTGGGTGTTTTCATTGGCACGAGGAGAGAGTCCGCCATTTCTTTTCCTCAGTAAATTGGCCCAAGGCACCAGCTGATAGTGATTAAACGCTGGGGAAGGAACTAGGAAAACAAGCAACGTCGGGCTCAACAAGACTTGGAGAAGACATTATGCGTCTGGGGAGCGACTCAGGACTTGTCTCTGTCATTAGATGCCTGTAGTATGGTCGTTCTTGGCCCAACGTGACCGTCTTACGGAGGCCATAGTGCTGCGCGCTTCTTGAGCGAATGGACTCATTTCTGATCTTGGAGCCGTAGCCGGAGTGGTCAGCGTGAGTGATGATTAGCACACTTGTTCTTGTTTCTCCAGCTTAGAGCTTGATCTTCAAGATGAATTTCTTAAGCTAAGTCTGGTGCTTTTTCTCAGTAGGTAGCAGGAAACAGGAGTGGACAAATGATTCTTTGAAGAAATTTTTTTTTTACTATTATTTTTATATATTTTTATTTATTTTTTACTTTTTTTTTTTTTTACTTTTCCCATCACCATTTATCCCTCTATGCCAGCCGTGGGCAAACTACGGACCGCGGGCCGGATCCGGCCCGTTTGAAATGAATAAAACTAAAAAAAAAAAAAAGACCGTACCCTTTTATGTAATGATGTTTACTTTGAATTTATATTAGTTCACACAAACACTCCATCCATGCTTTTGTTCCGGCCCTCCCGTCCAGTTTAAGAACCCATTGTGGCCCTTGAGTCAAAAAGTTTGCCCACCCCTGCCTATGCCTTCTACCACCCCCACCTGCCCCCCAACACCACACTGTTATCCTTTGAAAACTTTGACAGAGAGAAGATTTCCCCCCAAATACTTAGAACTGTGTGTACTTCAGGATAAACTTAATGACCTAGTTCTGTTTTTAGTATTTTTTTAAACCGAAAACTCTGCCAAGATGAACAGTGTAGGAGTCAGACGCGTGGGTTTTACTAGGGTTTATTCTCACAGCAAAGTCACGGGATCGTTGGTTTTCAAGGGTGTTTCTGTTTGGTTTCCTTCCCCACAATTCCTTTCACCCTCTTATCTCAGACCCTGAACTTGTGAAAAAAAGCTGAGAGTCGCTGTTGTTATTTGAGATGAAGTCCCTTTAATGGTCGAAAGCGATTATGATAATGGTGGCAGCACCCTCTCCTGACCTGGAGCCTTGGGCCGGAGACTTCAGGGATGGGTGGCATGAGCATCCTGGGGCCACTGGCTGGTAACAGCTTGAACACTTCTTCCTCTTCTATTTCTGAGACAGGAAAGGTGGTGTGTTGCATCATTTCTGGTTTATTGCTGTCTTTTCTCCCTTCCTCCTCTTTCTATAATGATTCTGGAAGGAAACCAGAGACGAAGGCAAAGCAAGCCTTGCAACCCCTCATTCAAAGCTGAGGTAGAATTCGAAAGGTGGTCGGCCTGTAGGTCTCTAAAGCAAAACCACAACCAGAACAACAGTCTGTAGACCAGCGGGCGTGACCCACACACTGGAGTTACTTCCGCCATCATAATGTACCCACACGGTCCACTTATAACTTAAGGTGGTTTTTACTTATTTTTATCCTTTAGATGATTAAGGACTTGGGTGTTTGTTATGGGTAAGCTTGATTCAGAAATTTTAATTTTGCAGAACAACGGAATCCCTTATCTCACAGAAAATCGGTAACTAAAAATGGGGAAGAGCAACTTCAAAAGCCACTAGATGAACAGCATAAGGAGAAGTAGCCCTTTTCTTCCCCAAAAGAGAAGTACTCGTTTCCTTGTAGCCTTTCCTCTCAACTTCAGTAATAAGTATTTTCCACAGTCTCATCAGTTCATGTTTTTAAATCAAGGGGGTGCAATGACATACATCCTTTACTTGTCTTTCTTCATTATCCTCAGCATTAAGCTTAGTAGGACCACAATTCAGGGTGCAAAGAGTCCCAGCAAATAGTCATTAAGGATAAAGGTTAAAAGTATTGGACTTATTCGCCGGGAGTAGGAAAAGAGGGTGCAGAGGAGAATAAACAGCTATGTAGTTGTCGGAAGATGCTCCTCGCGATGGGGATCCCTCATAGGATCCCTTCCCTTCCTCATCTTCAGTTATCAGCTGTGTGAGAGGGTTAGAGAATCTCTGTGTGTGATCAAGCTGCCTTCCACCTTCTAGGTGTGAGCCTCCAAAACCCTGCGAAACTTCTGAGGTTTCCAGCAATTAAGTTGGAACTCTAACCTGATATCGTCTCACAAATACTGTTCTACCTCCATTTCTCATCTATAAAAGGCACGGCCACCTTCCTCTTAATATGGAATAGAATGTGGGGATCTTTTTAATGTGTTTTTTTAAAATCTCATATCTCATATTTCTTTTTTAAAAAAATATGTTTAGCCCTAGCCGGTTTGGCTCAGTGGATAGAGCGTCAGCCTGTGGACTGAAGGGTCCCAGGTTCGATTCCGGTCAAGGGCATGTACCTTGGTTGTGGGCACATCCCCAGTAGGGAGTGTGCAGGAGGTGACTGATTGATGTTTCTCTCTCATCGATGTTTCTAACTCTCTATCCCTCTCCCTCCTCTCTGTAAAAAATCAATAATATCTATTTGAAAAATGTTTATTGATTTTAGAGAGGAAGGGAGAGGGAGAGAGAGATAGAAACATCAATGATGAGAGAGAATTATTGATTGGGTGCCTCCTGCATGCCCCACATTGGAGATCGAGCCTGCAACCCAGGCATGTGCCCTGATTGGGAATCGAACTGTGACCTCCTGGTTCATAGGTTGACGCTCAACCACTGAGCCATGCGGGCCGGGCTCCTCTTATTTCTTCATCACCTCTCTTTAGGACGTAGGCACACATACAGTGAGTCACCGAGTCCATCCGTTTTCTTTCCAAGACAGCCCTTACCTTGAGGTTAGCTTTTGTGTTAGTAACAGCCTCATACGTAGTCCCTCTGACATGCATAGAATTCTAGCTCTCCACCCATCAGGTCGCTAACAAACTCTTCCGAAGTCTGCACCCACCCTGACTCCCCAGTGTGGGTGTCACTACTCTCTGCCCCGGGGAAGTGAACTGCTTGCTTTTCCAGGCTGCACCCAAACTCTTATTTCCCAACCCTTTTCCATGCCCTTTTCTCTGCTCAAAGTTTCCTTTCCTTCTGTCCGTTGAAGTCTTGCACACATCTATATAGTCTAAAGCCTTCATGATACATTGCAACATTTTTTATCATTTTTAATATATTTAGCCAGTTGTTTTCAAAATTATATATATTCAGAAGTAGTGTTTTACTTTCAAAGATGTCTTACACAGAAGTATATACATATATGTTCACAAACCAAACCTATAATACACATGTATAAGTAATGTAATTGGAATAGATTGATTGGTTAACTTCATACTGATAGCATTTACTTTCATAAAGTCAGCCAGTGAGAAGAAATGATGACTAGATTTGAAATTGATAATTATGAATGATGGATATAGTCTGATGTTGGTCTTTCATGCTTTTTGTTTTAATTAAGCAACATTTAGAAATTATTAATTATATAAGTAGTTAAGTTATAGATTTTTATGGTTCATTTGCAATTTCAGATAAATTTGTCAATAAACAGGAATGGCAAAAAATGTATTCTAATACCTGTATAGGAACAAATGGGAGAACGGCAGTTAAATTATTGAGAGATTTCAGTAATTTACTAAATGTGTTTGAGCTTATCTTTTAAAAAATTATTTTAGAATAAATTTAGATTTACAGAAGAGTTATGAAGATAGTACAGTTCCCACATATCCCAATTCAGTCCCCTTCTATTATGAAATACTGATATGTTATTATTTAAAGTCCACTCTTGGTTTCGATTTTCTTAGATTTTAACAGACTGTGTTTTCTTAAATGTCAAAAGAATTAAACTACATTTTAAGAATGGGATTTGAATAAGGTAGTGGAAATACCAAAAAACTCCTGGATTGTTTGCTTTCTGTGGAATACAGCAACAACATTCTCTAATGTAGTCTCATCTGGCTATGAACCGCTACCTTAAGCCACCTTTTTTCAAATGCTGTTTCTCAATAAGGAATTATGTCTTCTTAGTTCCCTAAACTCATTGCGTTGGTCACTTCCCCAGGCCTGTGCTGGCTCTCTGCCTGTATGTTCTCTTTTCCTCCTTGTCCAGATGGTGAATTTTGATGAATCCCCTAAAATCTAGAGTAAGAACCATCTTTTCCTGTGGCCCCATTTCTGAAGATGCTAATACCAGTCTCTAGTGGTTTTAGTAGCTGCCGTTTTTTTTTGTCAAACTGAGTACTCAAATTTCTATTCTGTTTTGTTCATTTCATGTCCCATTTGACTACATTGAATAAAATTTCCATTTCCTCTTTATACATGTGACATACAGAATTTGAGAAGCTTACACATTTAACCAAAGGGAAAGTCTATAAAATTTGATAGATAGATCAAGGTCTTTTGTGTGTGTGTGTGTGTGTGTGTGTACACATGTGTGTACACACCTAAGTATAAGATATTTCCTTTTTAAAAAAAATATATTTTATTGATTTCTTACAGAGAGGAAAGAAGAGGGATAGAGAGAAACATCGATGAGAGAGAAACATCGATCAGCTGCCTCCTGCACACTCCCTACTGGGGATGTGCCTGCAGCCAAGGTACATGCCCTTGACTGGAATCAAACCTGGGACCCTTGAGTCCGCAGGCTGACGCTCTATCCACTGAGCCAAACTGGTTAGGGCTAAGATATTTCCTTTTTTTTGTGGGGTGGGGGATGGCTACAGTGAAGTCAGTAGAAACGAGCTGAATTTAACCATTGCCACCAACAGACTTCTGTAGCTGATTATTTTAAGCTTTATAATTTAACATTACAATAAGCTTTCCAATTAAAATAATTGAATTTTTGAGGGCTGATTAAAAGAACACCAGTCGCACAATTTTTGGTGAATTCAGTATAATTTAATTAGCACTTTGATCATGAGCGCCCATAATAGCGTCCAAGTGGGTCACGGCGGATTTTTTGTTATTAGTATCACCCCCTCTTGCCTCGCGTGCTGCCGCTGCACAGCTCTGTAGTCTTCCCACCAGTGAACGGGAGAGATGTAGTTTTTCTCTGTTTGGCTCTGACTCCTGGTAAAGCAGCGTGATTAGGCTGCCCGGTGAGCATTTTCTATAGGACTGATTACCCTCGCTAGCTAACCCTTTCTTTTCTCTGAACGGGCTGTGAGAGTATGATGGAATTACTAGGTACCAATTTATTAAGTTAAAGGAATAAATCCAGTGTATGTGTTATTTTTCCCCCCAATGGAAATGTAGTCCTGTCCATGTTTGTCCAGTGAGGAGTGAACTAAAAACCAGGAAAGGTAATTAAAGCCATTGTTGCTATTTCATAACAGCAGTGACATTTAAATTTGTGTGGCAGCGAGCAGGCCTGGGTATCGTATTTGCCATCTCATTTAATCCTGCCAGAAATCTGTTTCCACTGGAGCTAAAGACATTGTTATTTCCCTTGGCCTTGGAGGCAGCTGAAGGTCAGAGTAATTAGGAAACTGAACTAAGATGATACAGTCTCTATGTTGCAGAAGAGAACCCAAACTCAGAGCTCAAAGGGACCCTGGAGAACTTCTCCTAGCAACAAATTTGGTTTAGTTGAGTACTTAATATTGACCAGGTGATGTGCTGGCTTAAAAGACATCCTATATAATAAAAGGCTAATATGCAAATTGACCAAACAGCGGAATGACCAGTCGCTATGACATGCACTGACCACCAGGGGGCAGATGCTCAACGCAGGTGCTGCCTCCTGTTGGTCAGTGCACTCCCACAGAAGCCGGGCTCACAGCTGGTGAGCTCAGCGGTGGTGGCGGGAGCCTCTTCTGCCTCAGCGACAGCGCTGAGGATGTCTGACTGATGGCTTAGGCCCATTCCCTGAGGGCTCCTGGACTGCAAGAGGGTGCAGGCTGGGCTGAGGGACTCCCCCCTCCCCCAAGTGCACGAATTTTGTGCACCGGGCCTCTAGTCTTCCTTATAAAAAACAGTCAAGTTGCAAACCAAGTGAATTCCCTTTCCCCCACTCATCCCTTGCTCTGACTGGCTAAGAAGCTGAAGGGCTTGGGTGTGCCAGAATATTGGAAATAATAGGATTTCTTTGAAAGCAAATTTGGGGGGCATGGATTATGGGGGAACATTTTACATAGGTTGTTGTAATTCGTCTTGAGAACTGATCAATTTAGTGGCAGCGGAATTAGAGAGGATGGGCGAGGTTCCACATCTGTTTGGCAAGAATTTTAACTGTAGTTCAGAAATGATTGGATATAGGGAATGAAGTCAAGTCATTGAGGATACCTGTTTACCTTACTCTTCTCCAAAGGGGGTGGTGAGAGTAGGAAGTACCAGGGCAATGAGGGGGAAAGAGTAGCAGGTTATATTCTGTTAGCATGAATGTCTTTTCTTACTCCTGCCCTCCATCTTCATTGATTACATCCTTGTCTACATTTAAGTCTTGATTTCGCTACCTATTTTTTTAAAATTTATTTCTCGAGTCAATATTACAGAATCTGTTTTCCCTAGAAGAGGGAACATTTTCAGGAATAGTCTGCAGAAATAGGATTCCTAGGTCACTAAATTCAGAGGAACATGAATTGGTCACCAATGCCTTATAGGAGGATAGACAATTGAGGAGGAGAAAGCACACAGAAAATAAAAACAAACAAGTGAAAGTCAGGGTTTTCTCCAAAGGAATGCACGCTGGATTACTGCCCCCCCCACCCCCGCTGCCCCAGCGATGGGAACCCCTTCTTCCAGGAGGCACCTTGAAATGTGAGCCCCACTAGCAGTGTTGTGAACAGCCTGGTTAGCCTCACCTGGGAAGTGGCTGCTTAGCATTTTGGTTTCAAAGAACGAGGAAAGGAACAGGAAAACATTGAGATACCGATGAGGGCTGCGGGCTTGAGGAAGTGCGTGGCTCTTCGGTAATGACAAAGCAGACGCTGCCTGGTTCAGTGTGAACAAGGAGCCTGTGGTTGCCCCACTCCATAGCCACTCATGTCAGCCTGTCAGCTTTGCCACCTGAAATACATCCTGGGCCGAATGGAGACCAAAGAAGCTCCCTCACCTGCTGCCTTTGTAAATGGATCCTAAGCCTGACCTCTGACCCCTGCTTTCTCATAGGGTAGGGCAAAGGGGGCTCCAAGTCAGTCCTAACCTCCCATCGCACCTGCAAAGCTCCACCTGCACAGACCACTTCTAGACAATTCCGCGTTAAAAACACACGATTACGTGAGAACATTATTCGAAGTGAAATAAGTCAGACAGAAAGTGCTAAGAACCATGTGGTTTCACACATATGTGGGAAATTAAACTGAGACTTAACACAAACAGCAGTGTGGTGGCTGCCAGAGGGAAGGTGGTGCTGGGGGAAAGGGGGTCTTAATATGAGGTGACAGGAGAAGATTTGACTCGGTGCAACGTACAGATCTTGTAACATAGCAACTCACACATGAAACCTATATGTTCATGTTGATCAATGTCACCCCAATCAATTTAACAATAAATAAAATAAAAACACATGACTGATAGGGAGAGTAAAGTATTTATAAAAGTAAAAAGAAACTAGTTTCATGAGGGTTTCCTGAATGTCCATCAAAAGCATTACTTTAAATTTTAGCTCACTTAACAATAAAAATAGCACGGATAACCTGGGATTTAATAAAACCAAGGGTTGCATTTAAAATTAAAAAAAGAATAGATTTGAAACTATTAACCACAGCACAAAGAGATATTTCAACCACAATAAGTAATTCTTAATAAAATGAGATTGTTTTCTATTAGTTGACTAGAGGCCTGGTGCATGAAATTCGTGCATGGGTAGGGTTCCTAGGCCTGGCCGGTGATCAGGGCCCTCCGGCTGCAGTCCAGGGCCTCCCTTCCTGGCTACCGGCTGCCGGCCGAGACCTTCCTTCGTTCTATGCTGCCCCCTGGTGGTCAGCACACGTCATAGCGAGCAATCGGTCTCCCAGTTGAACTCCCGTGGGGGCCATTTGCATATTAGGCTTTTATATATAGAGATCTGTCAATCAGAAACTCAGATTGTTACAAATTACCCATCAGACTCAATTTTTATGATGGCCTCTGTTATCTAGATAGTTCCATGCATACTTAGGATACTTTTTCATGAAGGAATAAAGTAGCTGGGAAAAAATACCACTAACCTTTATGGGAAAGCAGTTTATCAAATGATTCACCCCATCGTATTGCTTCTTCCCGGCAGACTCTGTTCAAGACACAACATGTTTTGTAAGGAGCGTGCGGCAAGTCTGCCTAGAGTCTGCGCTACAGACGCTGCGAGGCTGCTCTTCCCACCAGCCTTCACGGGTTCTCGTTGGCCTATTACATAACGAAATCTGCATTCACACTGGCAGCTTCAAGAACACCGCTCAACTTGCTTTTCACTTTTGTCTTTGGTTATCTTCTAAGGAAAAACTGAGCGTGTGTTAGGTTAAAAACCAAGGGGGAAAATTCAGGTCCATTATTGTTCTTAATTCAGCAAATAGAAGGACCTACGCTGATAGTATCTTTCATTTTTTTTTTGTAAACTGCAATTTCCTTGAAACTCTGACCACAATTTGCAGCTTTTTTTTTTTTTTCTAACAGATACAGGAAGTTTGACTAATGAATTTTTAAAGGGATAAGAAACAGAAAACATTTTCTTTTAGCGATGCTGATCATTTAGGGAGTTGAGTATATTTGTCCTGGATCTCTTATTGGTCATATTTCAGGTTTGGAAGAATTTATACAAGTATATAAGGCTCTTCCATTTTCTGTTTGAATTAAAGAAATGGCTAAATATTACAAAATACTCCTTTTTTTGTAATTTACTTGCTGTCATATCTAGAACATTTTTTCAAACCACCGAGGGAAGATGTGCCTAGCTCTTCTCTATGGCTGTACACTGTGAGAACTCTTAATGAGTATTAGTTTACAAGGAGTCAAATATATCATTTAAAATGGACAGCTCTATCATTTTAAAAGAGAGCCCTTGAATTTTTATTAGACTATGTCATTCAAGCTATCAAAGTGGTTACATTTTATAGAATATTCCTTGTTTTTCTGAAATGAGATCTCGAACCTTCCTATATTCATTCCTGTGCAGTTTTCAAATAAAACGGAAATTCCCGACTTCCTCTTTCTTAGACCTTTCATGATAGAACCAGCAAAATTCCTCTCACCCCCCCAGGTAAAGAAACCTTATTCACCTGGTTACTCCGGCCAAGTGCGCAGACCTCCTGGCCTGCGGCTCTTCATGAAACTCGGATTTCTGCAGGAGGAGGCTCAGCCGGTTCCGTTTCTCCTTCGCTCTGTCATGAAAGGGATTCATTAGTGTCAGGAAAGTTTGGGTGACAGACTCTGTCCTGGTGACCCTCAGGTTTAGAAGGACCTGGTCACCCGTTCTCACCCACCTCCCACCCTCAAAAGCATTACTTTAAATTTTAAGTTTTCTTAACTTCACTTAAGTACTTCAGGGAGGAATTAGGGTAGCATATGTGAAATATACTGGTTTTTCCCTCCGTGACTGCAAAGTATTTAAGATTTTATTTCAATAAAGATTGTTGCTAGTCTGTGTGGTTAAAATTGTTGCCCCCCCTTTTTTTTTTCTTAAAAAAATGAAAACACCTGAGGGGTTAATGGGAGAAAAAAGGGGACATACGTAATACTTTCAACAATAAAGATTTTTAAAAAATTTTAGGAAATGAAAACACGATTTAACAGTTTGCTTCTAATAAAAACTTTTTTTTTCAATTGGAGCAGTACAGTCAATATATTTTCAATTGGATATTTTCAAAACAAGGGCTAGCCAATATCCTTCATTTGCACTAGATGAAGATACCTTAGACCTAGGAGATATCTTCAGTCATGTTTTTACCAAGTATAAGGCAGGTTTTAGAAATTCGGATTTTACCTGATTTTGGCTTCTTTGCTTGCTTCTTCTTTGGCTGAACCAGGCATTAACTTGAAAAAAGTTTTTTCCTTTGATTCCCACATATTCCGTTGAGAAAAGAAAAGCAACGATGTTTCCATCTTCTCTCTAAAAGGAAGAGAGGTCTAATCCACCCCATCCTTCGCTTGTAAATGCGATTCCATAGTCACACATGATGGAAGGAAGAGTTGTTAGCTCAACTCTGCGGGCAGCTCTTATAATTGAAAAGAAAACAAGAGACTAAGAGCCTGGTTTCTGCCTCCGCAGAGGCAGGAACATGCAGAACTGAGGAACCAAAGTACAGCTCGGCCCCGGTTGTTTAGGGAAATGATACTACAAATTTGCAAAGTGGCTCTTGGTCTCTGAGATAAAGGCTGGCTTCACCACAGCACGACTTCCCTTTCTGGTTTGTGCAAGCAGCCAGATGCCTGAATAGGCCCGATGCCACGTGAACTTTGGGGAAAGATCTCTAACGTGGGGAGAACGTGTTCAGATGTGTTGTGGCCGAGTTCCACGTCACACCTAGAGATGATGACAGTGTGTGTGCGCTCATGTCCTTGTTAACAAAGAAATGGCAGCTCCCCATTGGTTCAGCCTTCACCTCGGTAACTTTTCCGTGAAACCCAGGTCGATAGCTAAGAAATTCTGATCAAGTCCATAACTCAGAGGTCATGGAAAAGGAAACCGAGGTGGTAGGTACTATGTGATGTGTTTTTACAAAGTCCCAGAGGTGGGACGAGGCATGACATTAGCAGGGCCTTCGATCACCAGTGGCGAATGCTCTAATTCAGTGGTTCTCAACCTTCCTAATGCCACGACCCTTTAATACAGTTCCTCATGTTGTGGTGACCCCCAATTTCATTGTTACAAATTGAACATCATTAAAGCAGAGCAATTAATCACAAAAAACATTATGTAATTATATATGTGTTTTCCGATGGTCTTAGGCGACCCCTGTGAAAGGGTCGTTCGACCCCCAAAGGGGTCGCGACCCACAGGTTGAGAACCGCTGCTCTAATTCCTCTGTAGTGTGTGGGACGGGGGATCAGACACTTTGGAGAAGGCAAATACCAGGGAAGCAGAGAGAAGTTCCGAAGTGACTTCGGAAGTCGTGGGTTGGGCGCAGTGGCAAAAACTCCAGGAGGGGAGAGCGCCCCTAGGACCTGGGTCCCAGCTTGGGGAGGGGCAGAGACCGATGTCCCCCAGGGAGCAGCAGTGCTAGTGGTGGAGCCTCTGGGGAAGGAACACATCACAGCCGCCAGCGGGGTGGACTCAGCCCATTGGCTGCTGACCACCCCGGGTCCCTGCCACTGACCCTTGACCCTTCGCATGGACAGCTGGGATGCTCTGAAGGGGTTCACCCCATGAAGCCAGTGGGCCCTGACGGATCAGGATGTGTGGAAAGACATTTCTCCCCAGTGGGCGAGGAAAAGGAACCCCAGGGGTGTCTCCCAAGTCCCCAGCGAAGAGGGGTTCAGGCCTGGGACGTGAGCAGAGCATTTTCCCGGCTCAACGCCCTGAGCCTCTTGCAGGTGACCCTCAGGAAGGCCGAGGGTCATACAAATCCCACTTCAGTTCTCCCTCGGCCAGTGATGCGCTGGCAGAGAGCGTGCCATCTACCTCTGCTCAGTCTCGATGCTCTCACCGGTGGGCTGGAGCTCATCCATAGCTTTGATTCTGCGAATCTACAGAAGCGGGTTTTTCAGTTTCTTTGGATATGTTGACAGGTTTTATATATGATGACGTAAAAGATGAAAACCAGAGCCCGTGGACACAGACAATAGTGTGGTGAAGGCTTGGGTGGGGTGGGTACGGGAGGGAGGGGGGCCGTGAGGGAAAGAAGCAGAGGGGACATCTGTAATGAATATAACAATAAAGATAAATGTTAATTAATTAAAACATATTGCAATATGAAAGGGTTCTAAAAATAGTTTTGGTCAGAATATAAGGCTTTACATTCCCATTTTGGCAAATCCTTGGATGTGGTAATCTCACTGAGCTATAGCATTTTCCAGGCCTGTAATTTATGATCTGCCTAGTGACCAAAAAAAGGGGGGCATGTCGACCTACTTCACATTATTCAGCTAATTTTGTTAAACAGCTTAACTGCTTTTCTTTCCTTTGTCGTTGTTGGACACATGAAAACGTCCCATGGAGCAGAAATTGTCTGTAATATATTCCTTAGGTTTCTGTGCTCAGCTTCCAAAGGAGAATTCCAAGCAGTGATTCTCGGATTCTTTTCCGCTGTGTTTCCTTTGACCCCTTCGGGTTTCCTTAACCACCTCTGTCAGAGGTCTTTCTGCTTCCCTCTGTTCCTGTAACGTCCGTGCTTTTACTTTCAGGGGGAAGTAGGGCCTCTGAAGGTTTAACTGGTGTGGAGTCCGCGCCTGATTCGCTCAGATCAGTATTTACAGCACTGGCTTCGCTGTTCTCCTCTCCCAACCCTAAAACCATCCAAACCCCTCAGGAAAGTCCATTTGTCCAATAAGTGCTCACCATGCACCGTACTTACCAGCCAATTGATTATGTGAAATACACGCTGTCTTCATAGGTGCACCTCCCTGCACTTTTTGGGCTGGGCTTTCCTGACTTCCAGGACTGTCCCTTTCTCAGAGCAGGTGTCACCATATTCCCTTCTAGCCCTGGCCCCCTCGCTCTGGGGGAGCAGACCCCAGTCTCCAGGGGGGCTGGCAAAGGAAAACAGGGACTCTCTTTAGCATATAGCACAGCCAAGAGAGTGCCAAGTGGTCAACGGTCTGAGTTGTGGGGAGATGTTTCATTTCAAAGTTGCACGGGCAGCCCCCCCCCTGCCCCCTCAAAAATGGAATTCCTACCCTACACCTTCTGTTCTCTTCCAATAACTTGATGGGACAACTAATGGGGTCAGAGGCTGAGAAAAAGAACAAGTCAGTTCCTGGGGGAGGTCAGAGGAGTTAGGAGACTTAGGGTATCCTGAGGGGAGTGGAGGAGAGACAGACAGACAGACAGAGATACCCATAGACAGAGAGAGGCAAAGAGAGAGAGATAGAAACACAGAGAGACAGTGACAGAGAGACAGAGACATAAAGAGAGACAGGCAAAAACAGAGAGAGAGAGAGAGAGAGAGAGAGAGAGAGAGAGAGACCTTGAATTCTCTTTTATGCCAACCGAGTAGACAGATAATAACCTGATAGGCAAATATTTGTGCATGCGGCATATGTGTATTTTATTGGATAACAATAGAGACCAAGAAGTAGTTGCGTCTGATGTGCATCAACACTGTGCCAATCGTTTCGCATATATTTCACCTTTAGTCTTCAAACAACATTGAAGGAAAGCCCAGCAGCCAGCCCAGGGGTGCAGACAGGCAGTGTGCTGTGAGGTACACACGCCCTAACTTAGCTCTGAGTCCACTAATTGCTTGAATTCAAACTCGTTCAAAAGAGTTTTTTTTGGGCTAAAGTTATTAAAAAAATGTTGTTATGTAAGTGTTATTTTCCTAAAGGCAATACTTTTAATTTTCTTTCTTCTCCCCAAACCCCACTCCATTCAGATATCTCTCATTTGCACCAATGAAACCACCAGCCTGGTTTTGCTGGGCTGGCATGTTTAAATGCAAGTTAAATGACTTGGAATGAAAGGCTACGCATGGACATTTTCCTGAGGTATTTTCAAACTGCGGAGGCCTTCCGTTCTTGATGGATTCGAGAGACGGTATCATAGTCACCAAGCTCTGCACTGCTTTTATTAGGAAGAGAAAATCTCTCCTCTCTCACATTAAAAAAAAACCCAAACCAACCACTCCCTTGCAGACTCCCGCTCTCAGCTTGCAGCCTGCCCTTCGAAAGGCTTTCTACAAAATGCTGGCGAAGCAGGGGCAGCACTCGAGTAAATCCTGTCGGTGATGCAGACAGGCAGCATTATCCCATTTTTAAGTGCTTCCTACCACTCTCATGGGATCCAGGGACTGCCTGTAATTGCCAGCTTCAGATGGTCACACACCCTGACCTGGCCATGTCATGCCAGTAACCCAGCCAATTCTAGAAATCCTGCTTTGCTCCGTGATTTGATTATTCTAAACCTTTCACAGAAGTGTTTTTTTTCTATTAGGAAATAATTGGAGCAATTTTCAAAACACTTTGGAAATTAGTCATACATGTTTGCACAGCCTAGGTTCCCTCCTATATATAAATCTTAAATTTAT